AAAAGCTACTAAATTGACTAAATGACATATTTGGCTTACCCCTTGGAGCAAAATAAGAGTGAACCTTGCAGAACATACACTGTCGTTCGATGTCAAAAAAGCAATGGCAAATATTCCGGAGTTAAATCACATTTCTCAAGGCACTCAGGTTTGTAGTTTTTTTTTTTGATTTAAGCTAGAATAGTCTTTTTATTTATTTATTTATTTATTTAAACCTCCTGACGTGATCGTCAGAGAATGTCGAATAACATTATTTATTAAAAGAAGAATAGTATTCAGTACTTTGAGTTAAAATTTTTTTTGGATAGTTTTTTTTCTTTCAATTTAGAAAAATTTGTATTCAAAACTTAGAACTTTTGAGTTAAAAGTGGTCTAGTAGTTTTAAAACTCGATATTATTTATTTGTAATTATCTAAAATTAACACACTGTTGCATATCACTAGTTATTTATTCACTACACACGTATGTATCGAGATATTACACATAGTTGAATATGTATTTCTTTTCTTGAAGATCCATGTTTGAACACCTTGAAGGAAATAAAACAATGGTTCATTCAAGGTGATAAACAAAAGAAAGATTCAAGTCAATGGTTTTCCACGCAATGCCAGTTTGATTTGATTTTATCAATAACTGGATTTCTTGGAATCGTAGAATATGTACTTACTAATTGGCCAGGTGCTATAATTCAACCAAGAAGACTATCTCAGGATATGCTTGAAGGTTTATTCAGATCAATTAGAGAAATGGCTGGTGACTCTTCCACACATACAGTTCAATCCTACGAATATGCAATGAACAAGTTAACAATTACAATGCAAATGATATCAGAAATACAAAGATTGAATTATGGTTTAGCTAATGGTTCGGGCTGTATGCTTATGCAAATTTATCAATAAGTTTTAAAATAACTTTTTTTTTTCTAGAAATTATCGAACAACTGTAAAACCTAATGAGCAGAATTTAGAAGCATATAATCACCATAAAATCCAAATTGAAATGCTCCCTACTTTCAGCTACCAAATATTTCA